CGGCCTCTCTCGAGGCCAATAGAATACGGCACTTAGATGCCGCGCTTGGACGACCCGCTGACGGGCACCGAGCACGAATTGGAGCGCCTCAGAGCCGTTGAAATGCTGGATGGTGGTTTGTTTACTTTTCGGGATGGGAAGATGAGGGGAGGGGACACCTGGAGGTAATCTCTGAGACCCACCAGAACCTGTATCGATAACGTAGGATGGACCCACTAGCCCAGCACGTCCTGTGCCCCAAAGGGACCTGAGCGGCCTCACGGCCGCTGGACGAAAAATACACACACACACACACACAACTCACCCGCCCCGGCAGCAGAACTTCTTGGCTTGCCAAAGATTTAACATTTCAACGGATAAATTTTCCATTTGTTCTTCGTACCATGCCATATACGGCTGCCAAAATTTGGACTCGGATCATAGGGTGCTGTTGGTGATGACGTGGGCTTGACGATGCCGACTCCTCCACGCCATTCTCGGACAAGACAATCCGCCAACCACATCTGCTCAATTAAGACGCATCATTGCGGTAGATATCGTTTGCGATAAGCGCACGTCATATAGCGCGCACGTTATAGCGCGCTTAGTATAACATGCAATATAAAAGACCGTCGGCCGAACCCGTTTCTCGGACGTATTCGTGAACTAACAGCCGCTCAAGGTGAAATGTGACATCACGTTGTGACCATGATTGCTGGCTTCCGCAACACTGCGCTACGGCGAGCATTGACCAGCTCTGCATTGGCGAGTTGTGGCACCGCGAAAACGGGTTTAGCCAAGTCTCAATTCTTACGCGGCATCGTGTCCGCCACGAATGCAGGTGGGACGCAGAGCGCCACTGGGGTCATCAAGCATGACCACCGCGAGCTCGAGGACTACTATAACCGCATTATCAGCACAAATGACCCGGACGAACAGGCGCGTTACCAAAATTTGTTTGTGTGGGAGCTGGCCCGCCATTCCATCGGCGAGGAGCTGGTGGTGTATCCTGCCTTTGAGAAATTCCTCCCTAATGGGGAGCAGATGGCTACTAAGGACCGCAAGGAACACCAGTTGGTACGCATAGCTCAGTCTTTTCTATTTGCCCACCCAGCTTGGCTATGCTGACCCGCGACTGGCAGGTCAAAGAGAAGTTGTACGAGTTCCAGAACCTCAAACCAGGTGACGCCCGGTTTGCGACCACGCTCCTGGCCCTCTTCAAGGATTTGAAGCAGCACATGAAGGAGGAGGAGGAGGAAGACCTCGTGCCTCTAGAGGGCGCAATTGAGGATGGCCACTCGGAGAAGCTGGCAAGAAGTTTTGAGCGCACAAAGATGTTTATGCCGACGCGCAGTCACCCGCGTGCTCCAGACAAGCCGCCGTTCGAGACTATCGCGGGACTGATAACGGCACCACTAGACAAGGTCAGGGACATGTTTACCAAGTTCCCCAAAGATTAGGATGCGAAATGGCAGATACTATACGAACAATTCCATGTTTGCGCGGCATCAATCCCACACGTTAAAGGTATACGGCTCGCCACGATCGAGGCACACGGCTTTGCGCTACGTCTTGGCCATTTCCTCCTTAAGTCAGACACCGGGGACATAAACACGCTACAGTCGTCGTAGTGAATCGGAATCGTGACATCTACCTTGCCGGGCTGAACCAGCTACAGGCCCTGCTCGGCATCTATCGTAACTATCAGCAGCGGTACCGATGGTCCCGGGATCGTAGCCCCACACAGGTAAAATAAGCATGAGCTACTAGTCTTTCAGACGCTTAGGTGTCTCCTTCAGCTCATCCACGAATAGCATGCCACTATAGATATATATGCAGTACCCGACCTTTAGTACGCAGTTACGCTCCGCCGCCTGGTCGGCCTCGTTAGAGAGATAGCCTAGCTGAACCAGCCAGCCGTTAGTGGGAGGCACGGCACCAAGGAAGTCGTTGGCCTTTGACAGCGGCCCCGGCGGCACACGCTTGCCCGGCATGCCCGTGATCTAGACAACGCGTTCCCACGCGTTTGCACCGGACGCGGTGTGCAAAATCGCCGTCTAAAAACGTCCAGGCTGATCACTCGCCGGAATGGGTTGTCTTTGAGCTCTAGAGAAGCAAGGCAACGAGCGGCGTGTGGCGTCGTGATGATTGGGAACGCGCGATTGGGGGAATCTTCCATCGCCCTGTCGAAGTGGTCCTCGCGGTAGTGCGAAAGCGGGATGCAGTCCACGGGAGGGACCTCATCCAAGCCAATTGCTGGATTGGTCCGGCGCGTCGCGTTCACGCCAGGGCCGAGATGCACGTAATCGCCGGCGCACAGGAAGTTCAGTTCGGTGAGTAGACGGAATCCCTCCCATTCGATGACCGTCGTTGCCGTCCCTATAAGATAGACATTCGCGTTGCCATCTTGCTGGGCATCGCCGGGCCGACGGTGTGCTCTGCTTGGCTGAATTGTATGCCGACACTCTCTATCGGTGTAATTGTCTTTGCGAAGCAGCGGCACCTTCGACGCGGATCGAGCGTTATGCGTATTTTAGCATCCATCCGTGCACTGGCCGAATTCTGTATGGTGTATATGAGCAGGAGTATATAGAAAGGCAAGATCAATGAAGAAGGCCTGGACATCGTTGCATGCAGTCCTACCACTAACATAAGCCAAATCCGTTTTCGCCGGCAAGTGGGAGTCGCTAAAGGCCCGTATAGGGCGCTTCTTCGGCTGCCGGCAATCCTGCTGGGGATACAGGGGCATTCGACGAGTCAAGCTGATGTCAGAATATGGCATTAGGAGGCGAATTGGTGGTCGCTGACTGAGAACATCCATACATCTACGCACATGAAAATACATGGGTAGACAGCAGTAAGCACGGTGGCGCCTCAGTGTGGAAGAGTGACAGTTGGCATTCCACTTATGAATTGGGAACAAACCTCGAAGATTTCCCGTAGTCAAAGCCGCGAGGAACTTTGATGGTGGCTGCGTTGCCCGGCCCATTGCCTGTCGGCCCTCACCGACGTCTGATGCAAACCCAAATGTACCTTGCGGGGAAGCCCAGCTCTGGAAGGTTTCTGGGCGGCGGCGATGCTCCTTGAACCCTGTTTTGTTCCAGCCCTGAGCTCCGATCGATCCCACATCAAAATGGCCTAGCCCTGGTCCAGGCAGAGTCCACACCGGTGCAAAAGCTCAATTTACAATGCGGCCAACGATGCACTGTCGGCATGAGGCTTTTCACAGCAGGAACGGATGGATTCGATTTGTTCAATCTACTTATGATTCTGCTTGGCCCTTTTGCGCGGGCGAACCTCATCCTCGTACATGCGGAAGAAATCGTCCGGTTCGGTGGGGTGTTTTCCCGTGACATCATGAAATGCCGTCGTGGCGATATAGTTAGTCTTGCCCTCGCGGACCAAGCTGTAATAATCCAGTAGGTATTGCAGCTCCGATCGATCGCTCTCTGACTGAGCTTTAAGTACTCGCTTGGCCTCGGCCCTGAGACACGGTCAGCTTTGCTAGTCGCGTGGAACCACGCGGCACATATTGCACAGATCATGGGAGTCGATGGGACTGACTGAGAGATGTTCTCAAACTTCATGTCGGCGCCTAGAGCCTTGCTCGCCGCGGTGGCAGGCTCGTTTCCCGCGCAAAGCATCGGTCCTGCGGGCGTTTCTCGTGAGACTGGAAACGTGTCAAGCGTACGCGGGCGACTGGACATACCCGTAACCACCATCATCTGGCCTCTGTGTCGGTCGTCGAAGCCATGCTTTCCTTTGCCTATGAGAACATACGCAGCGACCTATGCGACATCCTGCGGAAAAGTCCGGTCAGCATCCGGCTAGCGAGGGCGAGCATTCAGGCTCTTACACCGAGCGCCACAAGCGCAAACTTGTGATTCTCTCCGATGGGCAGTGGGAGCACGCCCTCCTCCTTGACTTGAGGGGCGTACAGAAGCAAATTCTCAGCGTAAAACCCTGCACTTAAGCGGCAGTCAGCAACGAGCAAGGATATCCATCATCCAGTCCGCCCATAACATTTAAACTTACCGAATAACGCAGGGGGAACCTCCTGTAGGGGTGCTGGCGTCGCCCTTGGACTGCAAGACGAGGGATTCGAGGTCGATGAACTCGCGCAGCCGCGGTTACTTGGTCGTGTCGGCGTAGTCGCACCCCGCCGAGCTGATGAGCAGCACGTTGGGGATCGCGGCTCTCTTAGCAGCTTCGACCAACTCGACGCAGATGTCGAACTTATCGTGGTGCGCGGGCGGAACCAGGCAGATTGTATCGCACCCCATTTCCTCGAGGGTGATGGACATGTCCCGGACGCGGCCAGGCTTGTGCTACACGATGATCGCCCCCAGGCTCTTGAGCTCCTGCGCGTGCTCCGATTTGGGATTGATGGCCAGCCCGGCAACCGAGTCTACCTTTCGGGAGAACTCTTTGTGCTGAAGGATGAGCTCCGCTATAGCAAACCCCGTGTAGCCGTCGACGGCGGTAATGCAAACCTTTCGTGACATTCTTGTTGCAAATTCTTGTTATCGGCCACTCTATGAATGTGAATTGTTAGCGTGGTGCTGGTGTTGGTGGTGGGCTTGGCAACTACACGCACGCCACAACAGCACATCTAGGTCTCTTTATACAGCAAGTCTCCGGCCGTTTTGATCTCCATCGAGTTATGATTTGAGTTCCCTCCGGTACAAGTGACGTGGAAACGTCATGTTGCGTCGGAATGCCATCCTGGCAGTCTTGCGACGGATTTCCTCGTCGATTCAATGTTTTAATTGGCTCGTGACGTAGTTATGATGACGAGACTGGATGCGCCACGATTTTAGTGATCCAGATGGTGAAATACCATGGCATTCCCATTCACAATGAACTTTCTGACCCAATTTTTCAGCACTTAGATGTTCAATGCCGGGTACTGGTCTCTTCAAAATGACAGAGTGCAGCTGCAGAAACCCGTAAATTAGACTCATTTGCGCCCACGGGAGCCACATGAATTGATCAACCCAGTCATGTCGTCATGTCTGGACGCTACAGTGCAGCTTGCCAGCAGCCGTACATTGTACGATATGGCCGCAGCGAATCCACTGGATGGAGCTGCGCGCTGTGTGCGAAGTAGTAACGGTACGGGCAGCGAGCACACGGCCTGGTGGCTGATGGGGCTTGTGCGGTCCTTCGATTCGGCGCTCGTGGCGTCGGCCTCTTACGACAACACGATCCGGCTCTGGCGCGTGGCCACGGGCGAGTGCGTGCAGACGCTCGAGGGCTATAATGACTAGGTCACCTCGGTGGCCTTCTCGGCCGATTCGACGCTCGTAGCATCAGGCTCTAACGACAAGACGATCCGACTCTAGCGCGTAGCTACGGGCGAGTACGTACGGACGCTTAAAGCTAGGTTTCCTTCGTTCCGCCTATCTTTTAGCTACAATAGGTTAAGTTTAATAACCGATCGTAGTGCAATTGCCACATAAGTAGAGACATCTAAATATTATCCAGCTAACGCTATCGCCAATGCAATAGATACTATTTACTCCTCACTCGGCATCAGCGAAGACCAGACCTAGATCACATAGACTGGAAAGAAGTTATTCTAGCTGCCCAAGGAATATCGGCCCTCCGTCTCTACGGTATCTAGGTCTAACGTCGTGATTGGCTGCCGGAGCGGGTGCGTACTGCTTATCGGATTTTCGCATCAAAATACCTCAGAGAAATTCACGGATCAAGGAAAGTAAAAGGACAAGTATATTAATTCTAGCACCTTTATGAAGGAGGGTAGAAGGGATGTCTCCAATTTATGCCTTGGATAATGGTTGCGGAATGTTCTCGAAGCATAGAATACTTTGTCGGCCCCGATGTGCTGCAGGGCCTCCAGAAAGGTCTCGTTACCCTTATTGTTGAAACGAAGACGTGTTGCAGGTGGGCCAGAACGTGGTTGCTGATCCCTCATCGCCATCGAATACTGGCGTGAGTCAACAGCCCCAATTTGTTTTTTTTTTTCACGTTGGGTCCACTTTGGGGTCGAGGTTGGTTGCCAAGCATTTCAATCGATGGGGTCCAGGCCTGTCTGCTAGATTCCATCACTGTGGGTGCCACCTTCTTAGTGTGAACACCCCTGGGCTGGCGATGGCGCAGAGCTACAGTACCTACTTCGGTTAAGCTCTGGTTAATATCAAGCTTGTAATCGAGTAGTGTATCACATAAGCTGCTCCACTTATCTGGCCAGTTTGGTGATGGTCCGTGCATCCAAAACGCAACAACAGAGAGTGAAAAGGAGGAAAGGGGTTTCGCTCGCAGCTGTAGTGTCAGGGCCCTATAGGGACTTCCCTCCGGGCGTAATAAAATCCATCCATCCATCCCCCCCTCTTCCCCCCCCAGCCGATGGCCCCGATTGGTGTGGTGCCATGTCCTTCTGTGTGAGGGTCAGCCTTTTCGTGTCTTCTTCCCTGAAATGTTGGCGAAACTTGGCCCAGCCGCTCTTGGACAGATGAAATGTCATCAGAAGAGGGTGGCGTTTGGCGATCGTCCGTCTCGCGTCTCGCTCGTTGTCTATCTTGTGAATCCGCTGCAGGACTTGCGGCCACGATTAATTCCTTGATGCGGGACATGTTCGTCCCCCACAAACTCGCATTTGTCCTTGACACATCGCACGACATTCCCCCGCAACTTCACTCACAAAATGTCGCTCTTGCTTTTCGGGCCTGTGGCTGTGATCGGCACTGAGCAATTAAGTGCTATGCTGTGGGCAGCTGTGGCAATAATCGGATTCTACGGCCTCTCGACATGTGTATACAACCTGTACTTGCACCCATTGAAAGCGTTTCCAGGTCCTAGATTTGCGGCCATAGGTGGTATGTACGAATTCTGGTTTAACGTGATCATGGATGGCACGTATCTGTGGGAGATTGAGAAGATGCACGAGAAATATGGTACGAGGCCCCCTCACTAGACTACGGCGTGGGCTGGCGACCTGATGGGCAGCGTCATTCAAGGTCCGATAGTGCGGATCAACGCAAATGAGCTGCATATAAGCGATCCGCACTTCTACAACGATATCTATGCCCCAAGCGTGCGAAAGGTAGATAAGGATGTCTCGATGGTCGCGGCCACCGGAATGCCGACATCGGTCGTGGCGACAATAAACCACGATCATCATCGGGCGCGACGTGGGTATTTGAGCCCATACTTTTCAGCCCGTGCTATTTTTGAGCTGGCGTCTGTGATACATGAGCGCGTTGACAGTCTATGCAAAAGACTGCAATGTGCTGTAGACTCAGCAGAGGTGATCAACTTGAACTCAGCATTCTCAGCACTCACGGCTGATATAATTACCCAACATTTCTACGGCGAACATTTTCACTACATTGGCATCCCCGACCTCAAAATACCAATCAGGGAAGCCGTGTTTGACGCTTCTTTCCTGTGCAATTTTGCCCGGTCTCTACCCGGACTCGCGGCGGCCTTACGACGTTTGCCTGCTGTGATAACGGGGAGACTTTGGCCGGCCGTGGCGGAGGTCCCGTCTTTCCAAGAGCAGACCAAGCGCAAGATTCTCTCATGTCTCAAGGACAGACAGAAACAGATTCCAAAGTCGATACTTTCTTCCATGCTTGGTGATCCTGAGGCAGCCCCAACTCAGTGGCTGCTATCCTAGACCGACTCACCGAGTCGGAAGCGGACGACATCGCAATCGATTGGAACGCACTGTATACATAACAATTAGCAGCCTAGCAAGTCCTTCGCCTCAATAGGTGCTCTCAGCTATTACTATAGCTCCCGGACGTTAAACAATTATCGTATCGTATCGTATCGGCCGCTAGACGGAAAATATCTACTACTAATACTATACGGACTTGTTGGGTCCTCTACCAAACATGCACACGTCACTTCTACGCTAACACCATCACTATGGCCAAGCTAGAACTCGTAGTGGGACCTGCTCCTCCGCGGCTCATACTGACGACGATTCCGGCGACCATTCGGCCGGCACTTAGCCTCGAGCGCGCTCTGCACGTCCGCCGCCGTCTTCCCCGCATGGTCGCGTATTGACTCGTCGATGCCAGCGTCGCGCAGTAGCCGCTTCATCTCTTCAGCACGCGCCTCGGCCTCCCAGTAAAGGGGCCCGACCTCGTAAGCCGAGATGACGACGTGATGCAGCGCCGTCCGCCCTTCGTCGTCGGTGATGTCGACCTGCGCGCCGAGCGACAGCAGCATCTCCACCATGGGCACGTTTGCTTCGCGGCAGGCTGCCATAAGTGCCGTCTGGCCACTCAAGCATCGCAGGTCAAGACCCATTGGGGCCTGGGAGTCTTGAAGCTGCTGTCCGAGGGCGCGCAGGCCTAGGAGATAGCCATCCGACAGGTTAATATCGTTATGGAATGAGTCGCGGATTGCCTTGACCATCCACCATAGAGGCGCGGTCCTCGCCATGTAGAAGGCGGCCGTGCAACCGTCAGAGTCTCGCAACGAGCCGTCCGCTCCGCTGCGTATCAAGACCCCCATGGCCTCCCAGAGAAACGACTTGGCCGCATAGTGCAAGGCCGTCCGCCCAAAGCCATCCGCCGCGCTGACGTCGGTCACGCCTGGCAGAAGCTCGGCCATGATGTCAAGGGGCCGCGACCAGACCACGGCTGCCTCGCAACCATCCGTACCGCTACGACGGACCTCCGGCACGACGTGGCGTTTCCGGCCCATCAGCGCCCAGTGAAGCGCGTTGCGGCCGTTCTCATCCGTCAGTTGGGCGGAGGCGCCTAAGGCGACGAGGCTCTTAACGGCGCCTAGGTTATGATGCGTTGCGGCTAGCTGTAATGCCGTCACCTGGCGGCCACCCCGGGGCCCTTCGAAGATATCAATATGAGCACGACGAGCGTTGACGTCTACTGCCGTGGCCACGATGAGGCGCTCAATCACCGACGAGCCCGCCCACCTGCATGCACAAAACAGCAAGGAATTGCCGAACTCTTGCTCCACCGCCGGGTTGGCGCCATGATCGAGGAGTAAATGCACTATCTCCTCGCTTTGAGCGAGCAACTGTGGCTTTTCCCAGGCCCAAGCCTCGGTCTCGCCCCTACTCCAGGCCTTGGCCACGGCACAGACGAGCCACGCATCAATTACGGTTGGGTTCCACGGCCATTCCCCCGGTGTAAGGGTTCGTCGAAGCTCGGCCTGGCCAAGTTGGCGCAGTAGCAGAGCGACGACGTCTCGATGACCGTACGTAATTGCCAGTGCCGACATGCAGGTTCCGCCGCCCGGGCGGAGCTCGCATGAAGACAAGAGCGCGAGGGGATAATCGAGCCGTCCACGCTCGAAGGCCGTAAACTGGAAGCCGAGACCGAAAAGTGCTTGAACGGTCCCTACATGGCCGTTCCACCCTGCAATATAGCCAATACCGCCGGTCATGCGGCCGTGCTCCAGGAATCCGCCAGTCCTTGACCAAACCTCGGTGCTGCGAGGCATCTTAGCTCCGGCGCGCAGCAGGAGATGCATCATCTCGGGGCTGTCGTAGTCGGCGCAGACATCAATGAGCGCTCTTTCTGACCAGTAAGCCGCGTCCGGTATTGCGCAGAGCGAACCGCCCGAGTCGACCAGCAGCTGCGCAATGGCTAGGATCTGCGTCGACGCGGCTCGACTACCTGTTTGTCGCGGACGGCGTAAGTAGAGCGGCACCCTGCCGGCGAAAATGATGACGGGCTCGGTCCGGGGACGTGGCGTGTCGGGCTCCATCCGGGGGCGCGAGGTGTACTCGTCTCGCCCATCATCGTCTTGACACGGTTTGTGGTAGTGAGTCACGAACGCCTTGGCTAGCGTCGCGTCTCGCATCAACAGTGCCTCGACCTGAATGACGTCTTGGGCGAATATCGCGTTCATGAGCGCCGTCGCGGCTTCACTCGTCTTGTACACGGAGCCCGAGCCGCCGTCCCGGGCGTCGCCGATGGATGGTCCAGGGCTCGACATCCTCCCGTACTTCCGAGGTCTTAATGCTCGAGAAAACCGTCGGGGTGTGCATGAGGAACGCTGTTCGGCTGAGAATCATGGGCTCATGATGACAATGGGTGGGCAGATTGTTGCTAGCTGTAGACATGGAGGATCACGATGTGGTGGCTGGGCTTTGAGTCGAAAGTGCCTCGGAACTTGGATGAGAGGCGGCACGGAAATTGTTCCCAAGACTCTTAGTTAGCTCAGTGACTGAGCAGGGCGTCACGTGACTGACTGATGTGACATCAAGGTGAAATCCACTTGCCTTCGCACGATTCGCAAACTCTCTCCCTCTGGTGCCCAGCAGGACGGCCGTCGCATGTCGTGGCGACGTGAAGCCAGGGCCCAGACTCAAAGGCACGTATGTGTGAGCCTGCGAGGCAAGGTGCAGAGGCGCCAGGCATCAACTATATCGATGGTGAAGACGTGGGTTCTCAGCAATCAAGTCGAGCCAAGTCAGAGCGAGGTGCGGACTTCTGTACCAGCATTAATATAGAAGACCGAGATGTGATACAAGACGCCGCGGCGCATTTGAAGGCAAGTGTATATCATGAATGACTACGACTGCGATAGACCCTCGACCACCAACAGCTCCCTCCCACTCGGCAACCGACAGCAGTAGATCAGACATCAGTCACTGAGCAGATGGACGACTAGTAGTTCGTGTCAGGGTCCATGGGGAAGTCGGGGTCGGCAGCCTCGGTTCGCGGAACCCGCGATTCCTCCGGCATCCCTCGCTCACTCCAGCCGTCCCCGTCGAAGTTGCCTCCGAACCAGTAATTGTCCGGAGTGAGGCGGCGTCGATTCATGGCTCTCCCATCGGCGGTATCTTTGTCGGCCTCGTTGTGGTATATGTACGCAAACCGCCACATGTCCGCGTAATGCCGGTTGTACAGGAGTTCTCCGAACTGCCCGAGCGTTCGCTCGAGCAGATTGGCGTTTTCCGGCGGAGGCGTTCCGATGTACCAACGACTATCGGCGGGACACGACAAGATGGTAGCTCTGGAATTGTAACCAAACCTCGAATTGTCCGCGTACTCGACGCGGGATTCGTGATCAAAGCCGTTCGAGTCCTGCATGAACGGGGTTACACGGTCGGAATGGAACACGTTCACGACCGTAGCGCCCGCTCTGTACCTGGAGGAGCCAGTGGTGCCCGGGATGCGCAGGAACATCCGGACCTGCTCAAGCTCGGCATTTGTGGGATCTGAAGCACTTGCCGCATTCTCGACTCTTATACTATCCGCCTCGAAATGGATGTGGAACACCACCCATCGAGGAGGACGGTTGGGGTAGGCCGGGTTGCGATATCGTCTCGCGATCTCTTGGCTCGGTGCGTTAAAAAGAGAAGGCCCGATCCAGAACGCGAGCTCGAGCGCAAAGCGCCGGCCCCCTGCAGGAGCGTAGCGAAGCCAACGACCGTAATGGAGTGTCAGATCGCCGTCGAGAACTCCCTGCATGGCCCGGATGACTGTCGGCTCCCCGCTCGCAGTCTCGAGGCCGTCCGTCTTCGGGACGAAGCGGCGTTTTGCGAACTCAAGCAGCGCATCATACTTGGAGTCGGTAGTCTGCGTCGTCGCATGGCTACCCACGTCGCCCTCTAGGAGCTCATAGTGACGGGAACCGTGACGTCGCAAGCGGCTTGCTGAGCCCGACGCCTGGCTTGGGCGTGAGCAAGTCTGTGCACCCGCCTGGTTTTGACGATCCATGCCGGTCTTCGCGTCGCCTGGATTGCAGAGCATGTACTCAACCCAGCCTACAACATCCCAGTTGTTGCCCGAGTACGAACTCGTCATGCTTGCTGCGTAGGCGCTCAGAGACTCCGCGCTTGGATACGCGTCATCGTCCTCTAGCCCTCGCTTTAGGGCCTGGAACATGTAGTAGTTATCTTTAGGTTGAACTATCGCCGCGGCTATCATTTCCGCCATGATATAGAAGTCGCTATAAGACATGGCCCTTGAAGCCAGGGTCGCTCGCCGCAGAGGTCCCCGATAGTTGGGGCAGGTCGGATCGGCGAGGAAGCGATCCAGGTCGCGCTCCAGCTTTTCGCTGATGCTCGCTGGGAGTGATCTCTTCTCATTCGAGTCGTCATAGGTATCAGATCCCGCACAGCAGTAGCCGAACGACCCCTTCATGCAAGCGAGCCGCGCGATTCGAATTTGACCGTCCGGACAGCTGTCATCGCAAAGCTCATTGGTGGACGGCAGGTTATTGAAGAAGTTCCGCTGCCACAGGCAGCCTTGGAACGGAGCCGGCACGTCGGAGCCCTTGCAGCAGAGCGATCGCGACCCCTGTTGGCATGCCGGCATTCCGCCGGACCCGAGATCGGTCACAACCACTCCGTGAGGGTAGTCCTCCGGGCAGTTGTTCGACTTGTCCTTGGGCGAGCAGTTTGGGTAGTCCCCGACCCATTTACACTGGCCGTAGGGCTCTGTAGATTTGGAGCCCTCGCAACAGGCCGACTGGTAGCCCGACTGTGTGCACCCTTCTCGGAGAGTGCCAATTTCCACCTCCTTGCTCTCGCACCCTGGCTTGCAGGTGCCACTGCTGTGGTATCCACGCCAGCGACACTTCGGCAGCGACTGGCTTTTGGGGCAGCACAGCTTCCGTGCGCCGGTATAGCAGTCTTGCTTGTCCTGCATGATCTTGTCCGAACCGTCGCTCTGGACAATTTCAGAAAACCCGTACGGGCAGTCAGCGCCGCAATTGGACCAGCGGCAGAAGTTCTTCTGGTTCTCTTCAGCGCCCGTCAGCCGGAGCGCAACGTTGACGCCGTGGCCTCCGGGAAGCGAGACGGACTTTCTGCCCAACGCCTGGTTGAGAGCCAGCGCCATGGTCCCCTGGGTGTTGTCGTGGCTGATGGCCCATACCATCACACCACCGAGGCACTGGGACTTGGCGAAATCCCCTTTTATCTTGAAGGTGTCACCATCGTCGAACGATACCCATTGGTTACCGCTCCACGATATCATCTTTACGGCCGCGGCTGTATCGAGAGTGGGAGTCAAGCCGTACTCGTCAATGATGTCGTCTATCTCTGTCTTGAGCAGGACGCCGGCTTCTCCGCTACACTTCCCAGACAGGCCCGGTGACAGGAACTGGCAGCCTGGGGTAGTGCATCTTGAGCTTGCAAGCGTGGCTGTTCGACCGTAGAACGCGAGACCCAACGTTACCATGCTCGGGTGGATGGAATTTCGCCAAAGCAGGTCTAGCGAGTCGCGAATCTCCGTGAGATTCGTGTGAGCGTTCACGCTGTTGTTGCGGACGCACGAGTGGTCAGCGATATAGCCGCACACATGGACGCACGGACGTGGGGTCAACTCACAACGCGCCGTGCTCTTTTCCATAATCTGTCGACAAGTCCCATGCGCCATGTAGATCATAGGACATGACGTTAAACCAGTCCACGCTCCGCTGAAGCGACTTGATGTCGAAGTGCTGAAGGTACCAATAGCTGATGGGGATGGTGATGGATATGCCATATTCCGTGTTCGCATTCTTGAGGGCCGACCGTAGCCGACTCATCATTTTGGGAAAGTTTTGGTAGTCCTCAACTCGTCCGCTCCGATCCGGAGCGCGTGGATACTCCCTAAGCGGTTCAGATCAGTATTTGCACACGCCGACCTAAGGCGTCATTGGCGAGACTCGGCTGGTCACGCACCAGTCAATATCGATACCGTCGAAGCCATACGTCTGCATAACGCTGACGAGTGACGCAAAGAAGGCATCCTGCTTCCCTGTGGACGCGGCAATATCCGAGAATATCATGTGTGTGGGTTGATCCGCGTCGTTGAACGTCCACCCACCGATTGCTAGCCAGATCTTGACGCCAACATCTCGATATCTAACAGTCTTTATCTTGCGCCACAAATCTTCATCCAATGTTGACGAAGGAATGACCTGGAAAGTTTGAGGGCTTATGCTGCCGAAGGCAAAGTTGATGTGGGTGTAAACGCCAGCTGGGATCTCGTACGGGACCATGGAATGGCAAGGCCGCTTGACTGCCCAACCCTCGTAGTAACCTATTACTCTCCCAATGCCATTGGAGTTCCCGGGACAGGACGGTCGATCTACTGTTTCGTCGCCGCAGAAGTCCTTCGTCGTGCCGCAGAAGCCATGCTTGGAACAGCAGACGTTAAGGGGACAGCTGCTGAGGTTGGACCACTGCAAGCCCCAGCCGGGGTCGCACTGAGACTTTGTATCGCAGCCTGCGACGCAGTTACCGTTGTCCTTGTTGCAAAAGTCCCCTCCGAGGCCGCAGAAACCATGCTTGGAACAGCAGCCGAATTTGCATGGCCGGTCTTTGTCGCATTCTCTTTTGGCGTCGCAGCTCGCAACGCAACCAGAGCCGCAAAAGTCCTCGCCCCAGCCGCAGTTGCCAAACTTCGAGCAGCAACCTACCTCACAGGGGACTGACACGCTGCATTGTTGGCCGAGGGCTACAGAATACAGAGTCAACAGGAGAAAGAGAAAAGGAAGGACGTGGCCCCGGCATAAGGTGTGCACGGGGAAACCTCTAGAAAGGAGCGGCATGTCTGCGACATGGAAATGAACTGCTGTGGAACGGGCTGTGATTTCGGCGAGGAACGACAACATCTGGGAGGTAATGCCTTAAAGCATGCCCGGATCCAATTCCGGGACTATCTGGGATTCAACACCGAACACCCAGGACAAGGCGTTCCTGGAGATTAGACTCGTGCATCAGTTTATGGACATGGCACTTTTGATTCCACAACCTGCAGTCCGTCCGAGGGACCTTTTCATTTCATAAAACGGAAGGGATGCCTCGGTACTGTAGCCTGTTACTGCGGTACATCGGTCGGTTCCTGGAGCTTCAGACAGGCACAGTGACGGCAACGCCCTGCGGCCATATCATGACGATGTCGCCTTCTAGCGGGCTCACACACCTGTCACATGTCGTCCGCCGCGGGCATGTGTATTCGAGCACCTAATGCGAAATTCCTTGCGCAAGCGACGAGCCTGCGTTAATTTTTCGTCAATAGTCTGGCCGCGGACCTAATGTCCGGTTCCTGCATATTGGTTCCGTCCCTGGTATAAAGTTCTGTTATGGGGAAAGGCCAGATGCAGGCGAAATGAGACCCATCAATTCAACCCCGGTTGTCCCACGATCATGCATAGCCTATTCTGCAGGAAGGGTTCGGCCGCCTCCGAGGAGGATGGGCAAACTAGTTAAGTCCGTGCCGGCTTTGCGCCAAAAGCGACTACTACGAGAAGGGTCCAGTATATGATGCTGCTCAACTCGGCCGCGACATTGATGTACTAGTGGCTTGCAGACTGGAGTGGTGGCACTTGACCAGACACCAGGCGAGAAACCAGCCGTCCGTGCTTGCGGAGGACTTATACTATGCGGCCGCCGCCCCTGCTCCGTCTTGCCAAGCAAGTGTCAAGCCCTTCTACGCGGCATCCACGGCGCTGCGGTTCATGTTTCTCCCACACTATGTCGCTCTTTCTTGGAAGACTTCGCTTGCGTGCCATGCCCTCCTTTCTTGGTCTCTGGTTACTTCTTGTTTCCCTCTGTTTTCTATTTGGGTCCGCCCTCGCCAGCCATGGACACCGTGGGCATGCTCACTTACATGCCCACGTCCACAATAGCCGAGCTGCGAGCCATTCCACCGAAGAGATAACGGCCGAAGATGCCGCACTGCTTCTTGCAAAAGCTATGCCTGCGCTTCGCAGGGCTAACAAGTATCGGGTTGAAAACCCGCGACTCAATACGTGGAAGTTTCCCACGGCAGCCAACTCGACGGCCGTACCAGTGTCTATTATCGATACTCAGAGCGACCGCAGGGCGGTGCGGCAAAATTCCAGTGCTGTGCATGATTATTTTATTCCACTCGAGCTTGCCGCTGCGGCTAAGAAAGTAGCCTCGTTGACACGGCACCCTTCAGCGGCAAACGACAAGTCGACCGCGACTGCAGAAACGCTGAAGAGCACATACTGGCGGGAGACTAATGACACGAACACCCCAGAGCCGTCTGACGCACCTGGCAGCGGCTCCGCTCCCGTAAAACGAGCCGCTGCCACCAAGTACTGGATGGAAAGCATGCTGATGAACGGTGCTGCCCCGTATGCTCAGCAAGGGTACACGGTAATGCCAAACCCGACTCGGCGTATCTTGGGCGAAAGTCCAGCTAATTTCGCTCTAGGTGTTCCGCAACGTCAAAGATTATGGTGCTAAAGGTGACGGTAAGACTGATGACACGGCCGCGATCAACCGCGCTGTCACAGATGGGGGTCGTTGCGGGCGAGAATGCGGCTCCAGCACGGCCAAGCCAGCTGTGATATATTTTCCGAGCGGCACCTACCTCGTCAGCTCCTCTATAATCCAGTACTACAATACCCAGTTCATAGGGAACGTAAGTCAATTTATTTCCGGGGATTGGGCCCCAACGACCCTCGTGGAGAGTGACCAGCGACTTAACTAGTAGGGATACTTCACTAGCCTTCTCTCCGGCCCATCATTCTAGCTGCCTCCAGTTTCGTCGGGCTGGGCGTCATATCGACGAACGTATACATCGAGGGCGGTAATGGCGCCGAGTGGTAAGCTTTATGCTCATTCTTGCGCTCAACAACGTGCAGCATGAACATGGAGGTTCTCACATGATTACGTGTCAAGGTATATCCCGCAAAACAACTTTATGCGGTCTATTCGAAATTTCGTCATTGATATTACCAACACTGATCCGCAAGCCTATGTTTGTGGCATCCACTGGCAGGTTGCGCAGGCGACAGACCTCCAGGACATCGACTTTTACATGAAGCCCGGCACGACCCAACAAGTACGCTCCAGTGCATCTCGTGCTTCTTGAATGAACGAACGCTCCGGCTAATACTGTTAATACGTGCGGTGCAGGGCATCTACATGGAAAACGGGAGTGGAGGTTCGCTCTCGAAGCTTTACTTTACCGGCGGCAACATCGGGTGAGCCAGAGGCCACGATACATCCCTGGCGGCAGGCCGGGAGTACCTCCTCGTGCGTGCTAACACATCTGGTCAAGAGCATATCTCGGTAATCAGCAATTCACAAGTCGCTATTTGATCTCGTACAAGTGCCGTACTGCGATCCAGATCCACTGGGACTGGGCATGGACCATGCACAGCCTCACGATCGTTGGCTCCGGACAAAGTTCTGACAATACAGGCATCACGGTGGTTGGAGGCGTGAGTAACGTGCAACTCTCTGCTCGATACTTAGGCAATGCTGACTGATGGTAACAACAGGCGGGCGGACCAGGTAGTACCGGACAGGGAGTCGGCTCTCTCGTCTTAGTCGACTCGGTCCTTTCAGATCTGGACGTGGGAATCGCTACCACGCTAAAGAAGGAGAACTCAACGTCATTTCTGGTCCAAAACACCAAGTTCAGCAACACAAATGCAGCGCTCAAAGACGTCGCCCAGGGTTCTACTCTAATCGCTGGGGGCTCAAGCGTTTACGTCAAGTCCTGGGGGTTCGGGAACACGGTTGCAGGCGAATCTGGCTCATCGACCTTTCAGAATGGAAACGACATACCCGCGCCTCTTCGCCCGAAGGGACTTACCGCCTCTGGGACGAACTCGAACATCTACACGAGGTTCGCGCCTACTTACGAAGGTGTAGAAGCTCGAAAATTCATAAATGTCAAGTCCATCGGAGCAAAAGGCGACGGCTTGTCCGACGATACGGCGGCATTGAACCGAGCTCTCGAGGTAGCTGCCAACACGAGCAGCATTCTGTTTATTCCGTTTGGTGTCTATATGGTTTCGGACACGATTCGGGTTCCTGTTGGGTGTCGGATAGTTGGACAGGTCTGGCCTCAGATCATGGCCTACGGGTCAAACTTTGAGAACATGCGCTTGCCAAAGCCGGTGCTTCAAGTGGGCGCGCCTGGCGACGCAGGCATCGTCGAGATCTCCGACATTAGTATCACGACTAGGGGGGCTACTGCGGGAGCTGTCCTGGTGCAGTGGAACGTCCATGAGATCTTCAAGGGTTCCGTGGCAATGTGGAGTGAGTGATTCCCTTCGTCACGGCCTCGGCCACGACAGCTAATGAGGAGCAGACTCGCCGGTACGCCTGGGAGGTTCTGTCGGCTCCAACCTCCAGGCCAAGAACTGTCCCAAGCTCTCCGGCACGGTAAACCCAAAATGTATTGCTGCGTCTCTTCTCATCCATCTGACGCCGACGTCGTCCGCGTACCTGGACAATATCTGGGCCTGGACTGCAGGTATGCCGCGTGCCAACTGATCCATGTCCCAATTGGGTGACACGAAGTGGCAACATGCTCACGAATATCAGACCACGATCTCGATTCCACGGCACAGGAGCAGATTGACGTCTATTCCGGGCGAGGTACGTAAATGCACTCATTCACCTGCTCGACTATCTATATGTAAGGCCTGATGCCTTGTAGGGATCCTGGTCGAAAGTAAGAAGCCAACATGGCTTTGGGGAACCGCGTCCGAACATAACGTCCTCTACCAGTACCAGTTTTCAGGCGCGTCGCAGGTTTTCGTAAGCATGATGCAGACTGAGAGTCCTTACTTTCAACCCACGCCAAGAGCCCCAAAGCCCTTCACGCCAGGCGTCTTTCCGAATGATCCAACGTTTGAAGACTGCCCTGCCGACTCCAATACCTGCCCCATGGCCTGGGCTGCGCGCGTCCTGGACTCCACAGACATTTTGGTGTACAGTGCAGGGCTCTACAGCTGGTTCTCAAGTTACTCACAAGACTGTGTGGCTCGAGAGAACTGCCAGGCCCGCGTTGTTAGAGTTGAGCAGAGCTCCCACATCTGGCTGTACGGTCTTGCAACCAAGGCCACCCTGGAAATGGTCAGTCCTCTCAACGCATCGGCGACGATTGCAGCGAAAAACCAGAATGGGTTTCTGTCTTCCATCCTGGCCTGGCTCGAGGGATCAGAGAGGGTGATTGGTAGAAGATTCGACGGCTGGCCCATCTTCAAGCAGGGTTCGTTGCGCCGCGCCGGGTTGTCTCCAAACTGCGAGGCGGCGCTGTACCAAACTGTCAAGTGCGACGAGACGGTGCGGCGGTTGATGTATTCTGCATATGTCGGCCTGGTTCAGAACTCGACTAGACTTTTGCTCATGTGCGACTCGACGTGTAGCGAGTCTATCAGGTACATGCGAGGAAGCATCGCCGAGGCCTGTCGCTCGACCCCCGACCTTGCCGAAGGGGTGCCGGTGCTTGGGTTCGTCGACATGCTCTCTAGCCGTTGGAACGAGACGTGCTTCAAGGACACTACCACTGGAAAATACTGCAACGGTCAGTTCACCAACCAATCCATGCCCCAGTCCCTCTTCCGTCTATATCGGGGTCGGACGGAACAAATTTTGACCTCGAGCAGAAATCATGGGCAACTTCAAACCCGTGGACCAAATCTCGGACATGCCCCGGGACGAGCTGTGCTCATACTGCAACGTGAAACGATTCAGCATGATGCAAAATTCACCGTATTCGGCCTACGATAATGCCACTGTGCGGTCGCAGTATGAGACCATCGCTCAAAGTAAGTACCTTTCGCTACCCTCACTGGCGGGACGCTGCCGTGGCTTTGCTACGACATGCTGATCAAGTACAGCCTGTGCCGTCAACGGCGCCGACTTCACACCACGCTCGGGCGGGCTATCTCCGCAAGTTGAGGCGCCAGAGGCAGTCTGCGTGTCTGGCAAGACGTACAAGACGCGTCAAGGAGACACGTGCGACTCCATTGCTCAAGCACAGTCCATCTCGGCAGCAAGTCTGTTTTGGATCAACCCCGCGCTGCCAGAATGCGAGAATATAAGAGCAGGTCTTGACGTCTGCCTTCCCCTGGCGTGTGGCAAGACGCGCATCGTTCAGGCCGACGAGACGTGCACAAACATCTCCATCAGCGCAGGGGTAGAATACACGTCCCTCGTGTCCTGGAACGCGGGACTCACACAAAACTGCTCGAACCTCCATGACGGGGGATGGGGGCATGTCCTGTGCATCGCGCCACAGGGCGGCACGCCAACATTGGAGGTGAACGGGACTGGCAGTATCGATCCCTGGCAGGGCGGCGACGGATACGGCCTCAAACTCGCTCAACCGCCGAGCAACGCCCCCATCGCGCAAGGCACGACCCGGAACTGCAGCGAGTGGTATGTCAACGACGGCGGCCTCTCGTGTGCCGGGGTCTGCGTGCGCAACAGGATAACATACCAGTTGTTCCTTGATGTCAACCCGTCCTTGGGCAACACCACTTGCGACCACGATCTGGTCCTGGGTTCCGCATACTGCGCGCGTCCGCTCTGGGGCTGGAACAGCACGTGGAGCCGCCACCAGCCGTCGACGACAACTGGCACGGCAACAAGCTCGACGTCGCCGACGCCGACCTTCGCATGGACGACTTTCGGCGGCTCCTTCGAAACTTCTGGGCAGCGAGTAGTGGCGGCAACCCCAAGCGATACAGAGGGCAAGGCCTTCGTCTCAACCATGTACACCGATTTCACGTTCGAAGCCAACATAACCATTCCCCAGGCTGGTACCGGAAACGCAGGGCTAATCTTCCGCGCGTCTAATCCGGGACCTGGCGTGGATAACTACAGCGGATACTATATCGGGTTCGGGACCGACGGCTTCCTCACCCTAGGTCGCGCGAACCGGGGCTGGACGCATCTGACGAATGCGCAGGTCTCGATCCAAGCAGGCCGGGCATATCAACTCGTAGTGCAAGCGGCAGGGGCGTCGATCGTCGTTTACCTAGACGACAAGAAGACGCCGAAGATCAGCTGGCAGGATGCGACTTACAGGAGTGGCATGAACGGGGTCCGCGTGTATCGCACGGGGGCGACCTTTGACGCCATCAGGATGTATTACCTCTAGATAAGGACATCCTCGCGCAGCAGTTGAATACGGATCGTCCACGGTGGTAATGCATACTCGTGAATGATTTCCATCCGCGGCGTGGGCCCTGATGGGCCACTCACCCGTCGCGACCATGTATATTGATTGCATGGCCATGTGCGCGCAAGGCCGCGAGGCTGATGACCGCTGATGACCGCCGCTCACCGTTCCGTAACCAGCGTGCATCTGAGATGGTTCTATATAGGCCGACGTTCGAATCGAATTCGAGAGGAGCGGGCTCAATGTAGGACAGCAAAATGATGTGCGAGGATGATCGGTTGACTGAATGTCGAATGTCAAAAGGTTGGCGGACTGAACTGAACTGTAAAAGCAAATCACCTAAGCCAACACGCGACGCGTCTCGTCTCCCCAAGTTCGACCAGGCTGGGCCGCACCAGAGCGGGGCTTCTCGCGTTGTTTAGTGACTAATTAAAGGTACCTCCCTGTGAACGAGCTCCTCGTTGTGTTTGGTCACTCGCCGTCCTTCCATGTCCATGACGAATGGGAGTCAGAGTCAGGCGTGCACAGCAATTGTGCTGTCTCTATTAGGTCCGCTTCCGTTCCAGGGCCCACTAGTATTTACTCAACTTCGGATGCGTTATCCTTGTTGTCCGTGGGCTCAGAATACAGTATCTCAAGCGGTTGTCGTGCCGATCTCCTCGACGCTGCTGAACAGACTCTTGAGCTCTCCTGGGAACATGAGATCTCCGCTTTGGCTGCTGGGCGGGACGGCTCGGCAACACTTCGGCCCGCTGACGTGCGGCTAGTGTGCCCCAGATTCACTAGCGAGGAGGCGGTGCCCCGCCCCATTTATTCCCCATCGTGGAGGTCAACTGCTGGAGCCTGCCGCGAGCAGTGCAGCTGATCAAATGCCTCCCTGAACCAAGAGCCTAGCGGATTGAAGCTACACGGGTGCACAGCGGGAGCGCAACCAGCGCATCAGCCATCGACACAGCGCCCGCACGCCCCGCCTGCGGTGGCAGTCCGTCAGTCCGTCTACTCAATTACAGAGCAGTTCAGATAAGGTACCGCCCGGTCTGGTGCCGTGAACGACTCTTGCAATGTGACACAAGGTGGATGGGTTGGCTGCCCAAGTGCGTGCAAATCTTGGCGGCTTCGTCATCCCCCATGGGTTTTGTAGCATGAAGCACGCCCTGTCGGTCTACCGCCCGGCAGGTGGAGTGGGACGCCAAGATGTGGTGTGACTGATGCTTGAGAAGCATGAGGGGGTGGTCACCGTGGGAGACACGATTCTCCCCGCTGAGCTACCGCGAGAAGCCGGCCTGACAAGTTTGGCCGGGTCCGGAGCTCATCGGCACATGGAAGAGCATTAGTAGTGGGTTATCTTCACCCCGATTCTGATCAGAGGAGTGACAGTAAAATACAGAGGTCAATCGTAGCAGCAAGAACACTTAGTGCCGACCCCAGCATGAGCAAGGACAAGACCAGCTGCACCTCGCACCTGCTTGATTCCTACCTTCATACAGGTAACTTCAAAGACCGAGCCCCAGCCATTAGCAGTAACGCACTATCCCGTCCTCAACAGTATCCTCCGCTTCTTATAAGACTTCCCTTCGTCTTCCTTATATCCTACATCTTAACATAGGGCCATCCGTCTCTTTACTGATCCGGTCTTCAATATAATTCGAACTCATAGCCGCGCTATAGCTTTAGAGGCGGAGAGAATAGACTATAGGCGGTTAGTAACCGACTAAAGTATACCGCCAGACGTTAGCCTAAGTCTTAGCTTAATGCGTAGCCACTTAGGCACGTTATATAAGACGCATACTAGCGACGCCTATAGAAGCTCTAACGCGAGTCCACTAGGTTCCTTATCTACGATTATAGGCGCGATAACTTATATAAATAGCGATAACCCCCTATAAGGCATCTTAGGACTACTTATTAACGGATTGCTGCATTCGCTATTATTATCGGTTATACTTATATCTATTATATCGAGTACGAATAATATATTTAATACGTATAACGCGAAGTTAATAGCTAATCCCATTAATAGAGTATAAAGACTATTAGTCGTTACGGGTAACGATAGCTATAAACCATACCTGAGGTTAGACTAAGCAGTCTTAGACTTATAGTCGCTAGCTCTAAGGCTAATACTATCGTATCGCTAGTATAAATATTCTTTAATAGGTATAAAGGAGTAGATCTTCTATATTAATATCGAGCACTCGTTAGGGAATATACTATATTCTACGAGCTATATTAATATATCTAGCGCGTCTACTATAGTATCTAGGCGTTATATAAATACTAATAGTAAGAGATAGTCCGGTATCGTATTACGTAAGTGCTTTAGAGATATTATCGCTTTTGCTATAGGTCTACTTAAGGGTAAGCTCGGGTTAGTTATAAGCTAGTCCTATAACTCCGTATTAAAATTAACCGCTTTACTAATAGAAGCTATTACTAGATCGAGAAGTGCATTAGATATATGCTCTATAGAAGTTTTCGTTTTTATAGCGAAGTTTAGCTTTAGGATATTATAATAATATATATCGTATAGATAGCTATACCCTAACTCTAGCCCGTTAGCTATAAAGTTATAGCCTCAGCACGTCTAATTCTAGCTATAGCATAGTTCGATATACTTCTAAGCGTTAGCGTTACGTTCCTAGTACTAGAGTCTAACGCTAGGATATAAGTCTTCCGCCTATATATAGATAGGATAAAATGCCGGCTAAATTAACGTATATTAGTATATTATCGCGCCGTAATACTTCTTAACCGTTAATAAGTAATGACGGTAATATTCTTACTATTTATCTATTTTTAAGAATTCTATATAGAAATAGTAGAATATAACCTTAGATTAGAGGACGCCGAGAAGCTTAGCTATCGCTACTCTCCGATAACGATAAATATAATTATATCTATCCCGTTTCTTAATGCTACTAGCGTTAACGTTAAAGCATGCTCTTTAAGAAGTAATATAGACACTTACCTAGCTAATGCTATATAGTAGAATCGGCAAGCGCCCTTATCGGGCTCTTCTCTAGGGTAATAATATATACTCTAGTCATTTTCTAGTAAGAAGAGGGCGTCTCGTATATAGCGTAGCTATTCCTCGTAGCTTAAGGATATATTACTAATTATTACTTACGTAAAGCGGCTTTTCTCTAGGATAAGGTCATTAAGTAAATTATAATCGTCGTCTAAAGTTAATAGAATACTATATAATAGTCTTTTACGCTACTTTATTTCTATAGCGTCTACTCTATGCTATTTAAGAGTACTTCTTCTCTATCGTTTAATAGTATTCTACCGGGCCGTTATCGCCTTAGCCTTAGCTTCTTCGCTGACTGTATTTTAAATCCGTTAATCGTATACGATAACCTCTAGATATTCGAGCACTTTTATCTCTAATGATATAAGCAAACTAATCGGTAGACCGGGTTGCTAAAATTAGCCGAGTCCTTAAAAGTAATCGATAACTAAATAGTTAGGACTTTCTCATATAAAAGCAATAAACCTATCGCATGATAAGATAAAGGTAATATAACTCGTCCTAAATACTTTATTATCTTTATATAAGATATATTACGATTATTCCGTCTCTATATATCGTTCTAAGTATTATATTAGGGCCTGATGAAAAATGCGAGACTACTAGCGTAATACCTATTATTAAGTTACTTACCGAGTTCTCGCCGAATAGTATATATAGATATATTATTATAGTAGTATTCTAAGATTAGTAAACGCTTAAAGATACCTATAAAAGCGTTCTCGCCTATAGGTTTTATAGTATAAAGTACGCCTTATCGGTCTACCGCTTAATAGATAGGTATATCTTACTAGGCACTTTACTAAGGAATAGGCCCGTTACCCTTACCTTATATAATCTTAAGAAAGAATTTATAGTCTAAAGCGCCGTTAGTAATAGTAAGCTATAATAAGAAGAAGATAGTATTATAGCGAAGTAAGTAATGCTCTCGGCCGGTAATACTAAATCTATTATAGTATTAATATCTACTTACTTATTTACTTAAAGGATACTTACTTTATATTCTCTAGGTCTCTATTATTCTTAATATATTATTAGTCTACTTTAAAGAAGAACTCTAGATCTCCTTTAGGCGTTTAACGTAGAATAAGTTAAATATCCTAGAATAGTCAGTACTAGTAGTTCTAGCCTATATACCATTACGTACCTTATACTTTACCCTAGGCTTAAGAAGCGCATTCCTCCGGGCTCTGCTATAATAAAAACTAAGTAGAATAAAATGAAACTAAAATAGAATTCTAGGATAGATAAAACTAAAGTCCTTATATAGCTAAAGAGCCTTTAGGTTTCGGTCTAAGTCTACCGGTTTATAGTTATACTTAGGCTTAGTTATATTCTAAACGCTACTTCCCGCTTTATAAGGCAGAATACGCTTAAGCTACTATAGACTTATTAGCGTTAAAGGATATAAAGGCCGGCGTATATACGTAATTAATCTCTATAATAGTCGCCTCCTTAATCTCGCTCCCTATATGATATTTATACCTAGCATTAAATTATTTCGCGTGAGCTAAGAGGGAAGTAGCAATAATATAGTTACTAAGTCTGCTAATCGATTGATCCTTATAGAACCTCTAGAAATCCTTTAACTCGAAGAGGTTAAGGGCTTTCGAACCTATCGTAAAAGATACATTTCTTATGCTTATCGAAGTCGCCTCGGGGGTCATTTCTATTCTAGTTCTATCTAGAGGATCGATTAAAGGGAGGAAAGCTTAGGAAAGAGAGCGCTACTTATACTATATAGATATAAAGGACCCGTTCCTATTCTATAAGTATCTACGGTAAGTAATTTATAATGCTAGTCTATCTATCGCACTCCTCGTATTTACCGCTCTTATATCTATTATATCTAGCTCGATCCGCAATCTATTTAGGGCATAGGCGTTTAGTAGATATTATCGACGTAGCTACTTAGGCTATAGATAAATGCAGATAGCAGTAGGATCTAAGGAAGAGGTTAGGCGTAAAGGGGAGGCGCCTCGCCTTTAAATGCTCCCCCCTTTCCTCCGCGCGCGACTATCGAAGACGACATGCTAGTAGATGCACCGTTTCCTAGTAGCTGAAATGCGGATGTTAGTTATCGGATGCATTATCCTTAGTCGCGCGACGGTCGCGCGACCTTTTGGGGCGGCTCGCCCCAGGCATCCATGCATTGTTCAGTCAGCTCGCGCGACCCCACCGGAGCAAAATCCGCATCTTCCACAGAGTCAGGGGGGACTAAGGGAATGGAGTGTCAGATCACGGGACTTGACACACCAAGGCGAGCACACCTGACCCCCTTCCCCGGACGGCATCTCCCTGTATGGCGCATCGGGAAAGGCGACCGGGATGTGGTGACAAGTTACAACGCACACAGGTGGGTATCAAAGCTTACCGTCTACGGGGTGGTTCTGCCCGATACAAGCACTCTCGATTCTGACTGGAGCATGCAGAGCAGCGCGGATGGACCGTGTCACAGCGGATCTTCTTTGTGCGACAAGATACGCATGCGTTCGCCATGGACCTTGGCCGCCTCGGCGAGTCGGGCGGAGATACCATTGTACGTGCCGACCCGGTTACGAAAGACGAGCAGGGGCTCAAAGACGCCACGTCCGAGAGAGGGGGTCAGGTTGTGGTCCATTGAATGGAGTCGTTTGTTCCTGCCTTCAGCGAGGGGTGGAATCCGCTCGCGCTCGAGTTGAGGTTCAGGTGGGAACTCCAGTCATAATCCCCCGTCATCCGCAATCTGCAGCATGTGTTTTGCCCTTCGCCCGGTGGGGCCAACCGATGACCTCTACTGCGGGGTTCGACTGCCGACGGATATGGACCTCAAGTTGTACGACGTACAGGGCCACCCTGCTGTGTTCCGCGACTCGGAACCAGAGTACGCGCGGCGTGCCTTTGGGGACACGAACGACTGGCCTGTACTTTGTACTACATGTATGTGGCCAGCTAGTGCCAACAGCCCAACGTGAGAAGGAGTGACGTTGGCCTCCCAACGATACCAATAAAATTGCCGTGGCGGAGGACAGAATCTCAAACGGGTTGGCACGTTAAATGGTCCACTCATGTGCTCTCCACTCTATACTCTGTTGGGCGTCGTACCAGCCAACTGCATACCGAAACATGCCTTAACGTCGGAGGTGACGGCGCACACGGCAAGGACACCGGTCATCCAATGGTTTCGACTGTCGTCATCCACGTTGCAATGATTGAGCACGGATGCTCTTCCCTACCTAAACACCGAACAGCCGGAGTTCAGCTTGCCATGCAACTATAAGAAAGGATGGACTTGTCACTCGGAGCTCTGGTGGGACCACGAGCATTGGGATACCTCAATCTGATGTTCGCTACAGTAAGCAAAGAGTATAGACTGACATCCCCAACGCTCCCTCATCATGCAGAAGGACAGTAAGGCAGATCATGTTGAAGATGCAGATCCAGAGAGCAGCTCCAGGGATGGCGCCCCTGCACCACATGAGGTTGCCCAGGTGCTACGAAAGGTTGACTGGCGGGTGATTCCCATCCTAACTTTCCTATACATCATGTGCTACATGGACAGAAGCAACAGTGAGTTCGAGTCGTGTCTCTGGTCGTTCTTAGGCTTGATTGCTAACGAATGTACAGTCGGGAATGCAAAAGTCGCGGGAATGAACTCCGAGCTTCATCTCACAGGCTCGCAATACAATATTGCGTAAGATAATAGGCCATGCTTCGATATAAAATGAGTCCTAATGTTACGCAGCCTTACTCTCTTTTTTATCCCATATGCTCTCCTAGAAGTGCCCAGCAACTTTGTCCTTAAGCTGCTCAGACCATCCCTCTGGATCGGGGTCCTCATGTTTACCTGGGGCACGATAATGACACTGTTTGGCCTTGTGCAAAGTTTTGCGGGACTGACGGTTGCTCGAGCAGCTGTACGTTCTTTGCTCCATCTTTCTTAGAGCATCATTTGCTAACAGAAGTACGCGCTCTAGCTTGGAGTGGCGGAGGCGGGATTCTTCCCAGCTAGTGCCTATCTTCTGACGACATGGTACCGACGTCTCGAGTTGCAGAAGCGACTGGCAATATTCTACAGTGCGGGGTCGCTAGCCAGCGCCTTCTCTGGTCTACTCGCTTTCGCCCTCGGAAACATGGACGGGATTAGAAACCTGGCGGGATGGCGTTGGATCTTCCTCATCGAAGGATTGGCAACGGTGGCTTTCAGTGCGATCACGTTCCTCCTTCTCCCGGACAGCCCCGAAACAGCAAAGTTCTTGTCAGTCAGGGAGAAGAAGATCCTTTACGATCGACTGCGAGCCGATGCAGGAACCGAATCTGGAGAAGTCGAACTACATGACAAGTTCCACTGGCCAACAATTAAGTCGGCATTTGCGGATTGGAAGATATGGGTGGCTATCATAATATACTTGGTCAGACCGTCGCCCAGTTCATCCGCTGTGGGAACCCTTGGCTAACGGCTGGAATAGGCACACACTATCTGCCTCTACGGTTTTAACTATACTGTCCCCACTGTCATTCTCGACCTTGGCTACACTGCGGCCAACGCTCAGCTTTTGACGATACCCATCTACGCGTTCTCGGCTATAGGAATCCCCGTGCTGGCGTATTACTCGGACAAGTATGCGACTCGTTGGCCGTTTATCGTAGGACCCTTCGCCCTCGCTGCTGTTGGGTTCATTGCGCTCTTGGCACTTCCTCAACCAGGTCTCCCAGGCGTGACTTACGGCTTCCTCTTCTGCACACCCCTCGGCGCGAGCGCACCATTGGTGGCCTTGGTCACATGGATTGGCAACAATCTAGCGCCATCTTGGAAGCGCGCGATCGGTATGGCTCTACTGATCTCAGTAGGGAACCTCGGAGGAGCTATCGGTACGAACCTCTATCTGGAGAGGCAGAAACCACACTACTGGCTTGGGTATGGCTTCGGACTTGGGATGTGCACGGCAGCGATTATTGCAACGATGGTCTTGAAGACAGCCTATGAGAAGTTGAATCGACAGCGGGAGGCAGAATGGTCTGGGTCTGAGGTCAGACAGAGGTACACTAATGAGGAGCTTTTGCAGATGGGGGACAAGAGCCCGTTGTTCAGGTATATTGTTTGATGCGTCGAAGTGGCTTGTCTGCCACAGCCGATTTAGCATGCGATGGGATGGATCTGTCGGAGGATTGGCAACACTGACATGCAAGGAATCGAGAGTTCAAAGACTGCACAACCTCATAAAGAAAGCAACACCCCGTCGCGACTACGGAAATGCTGAAACCAACGCTGCCTTGATTTGGCCTGCAGGACCTATGCCACGCCGACTGAGTATGATTACAGTTTTCAGCTTCCTTGAGTGTCAGGACCGGCAAAGCATGCTTGCGGGAAAACCCTGCCCGTCTGTATCGCGCGTAGAACAAGTCCCAGTGTGCCTTTCGGGCCTCAAAGCTTTGTGTCATCTCGGGGCGATAGTGCATGACCAGGAAGTACCGCATGCGCTATTAAGGCTTTGGAGTAGTTAAAATGATGGCAGATCGCATTAGGTAGCTGCAGCTAGTTCGGCAGTTACAGTGCCCTGTCGCGATCCTTGAAGAGAGCCAGACCGGCCATTGAAACCACCAAGGAGTTGGAGGCCGGCTTCGCGTACTCTAGGGCACGTTTCAGTGGAATACATCTGCGCCGCATTGTCTCTCCAAGACAGTGAATGCCGGTGTGCCTGCAAACCACCCAGCTAATGGCGATCCAATAGTCTTAAAAGTAAATGCGGCATCTTCAGCATCAATCTCAATGGGCCTGCCCCCACCACGACCAGCAGCAGCGGCATCGGCTAGCAGCTGGGTCTTGCAACAGCCTTCCAGAGTTGTGAACCAGAAGATGCAGGCCTCGATTGTCTGCCCGACTGTCAACAGTCCATGGTTCTGGAGAATGACTGCTTTATTCTTTCCCAGGGCTTTGGCGATATTGTGGCCTTCCTCCTTGGCCAGGACCACTCCTTTGAAGGAGTTGTAAATGGAGTGGTCCTTGTAAAATGCGCACGAGTCTTGTGTAATAATATCGATTTCTCGCCCCAATGTGCTGAAGGTTCGGCCGTACAGGGAATGGCAATGCGCAGCGCAGAGGACGTCGGGACGGGCTTCGTGTACTGCCGAGTGGATCATGTATGCAGCGACATTGAGCAATCGGTTCTCACCGCCATCCACGACGTTTCCCTCAGAGTCGACAAGGATGAGATCCGATTTCCTTATATGGGTGAACGGCACCCCGAATGGATTCACCCAGAAATGGCCAGGTAGCACAGGGTCTCGGAGAGTGATGTGGCCTGCCACCCCTTCCTCGTATCCGTTGTGACCGAAGAGTCGGAATGCCAGAGCAAGGCGTCCCTTGAGATATTCGCGCTCGTCAAGCTTATTCTGGAAGACGGGGGGCTTCGGAAATGTTTGGGTTCTGACAGGCGCGCCATGTTGGGAAGCCGCTCCTGCGCCGTCCCCCACTTCGGCAGCTGGGACACTGCTGGCGGCGGAAGCAGCGACAGAATGGAGCTGCGGAGCCTGAGCCGCCTCAATGGTAGTGGTAATTGCGTTGGTAGCAGACATGGTGCAGGAGAATGAGAAATTGCAACTTGCGTGTTTGGGATGGATCGAATCTAGTTGCTTGTATTGTAATAAGGCGAGACTCCTTGTGATGAGGATGCACGAAGAAATGGACGAACCCGGACCCGCCCCCGCCCCCCACGGGTGCCAAGTTGCGGGGAACCCTTGCGTGGGTGTGGTGCCTCGGCACTCCACATTATTGCCGGGGTCTCGGATACTCATAGCCCGAGTGAAGCCGTATCGCGGGGTCTTTGGCTCCGGACATTGGACGAAGAGGGCATTATTAGCAGCTTGACCATGTCGAAGGCGTAGCTAGTATGCCGATTTAATCACAACTTTGTGCTATAGGACCTGGCCGTTATTGCGCCTCTTGCGTTTGAGATAGGATCGCTGCTACGACCGTGTTGTTTGACTGTACGAGCTGCCCGGCATGCCTGGCATTCTGCGGAAGGTTATACCGTACGAGGCACGTGTTGAGGCGCAAACGCGGTGCAAACGATTACCGCTGCGTTGTATCGCCCATTCAGACTAGCTAGCTGACACCACGCGTATCAGTTCCGCGACCCCTCTTTAGTTTGTAACCTCGCCTACGTGGGCGGGCGATGGGTACCCGCTTCTTCTGGTCGAACTTTCTCGGTTTTCGGTGAGAAAAGCTAGCTCGAAACTCGCGAACGCGACCGCTCACTCGATTTCCTGCTGTCGCAGACCCAGAAGACGACCAAGAGATATGCCAGGTGGCAAATCTTGAGCGTGAGGACGTGAGAATCGCAATAGATGAAGCGCGAAAAGCTTTTGACTCGTATCGGCACATGCAACACCGTGATCGACGATGGCTGATGCGCCGATGGGCCGACTTGCTGAGAGCAAACCGGGAAGACCTTGCGGCACTCTGCACGCTTGAACTAGGCAAACCATATACTGAGTCGCTGGTGTCAGTGCAATACGCTACTGACTTTCTTGACTGGTTTGAGGGCGCTATTGAACGAACGTTTGGTGATACCATTCCCGCTGCACGAAGAGAGAATCGGGTCTTCACAATCAGGCAACCCCAGGGAGTGGTGGCAGCTATCACACCATGGAACTCTCCTCTGGCAATGATTACACGCAAGGCTGGCGCGGCCATCGCGGCTGGCAACTCAGTAGTTTGCAAACCGGCACCAGAGACGCCTCTTTGTGCACTTGCTCTGGCAAAACTCTTCGAGAGAGCTGGAGGCCCTCCCGGAGTACTGAACGTCATACCCTGTAGCACCGAAAACACCGCGGCCGTCGGCGAGGAGGTGTGCTCCAATACACTTGTTAAGCACCTCAGCTTTACTGGATCGACGGCCGTCGGTAAGTCTCTGAATGTCGCATGTGCCAGATCGATGAAGAGAATAAGCATGGAGCTTGGCGGAAACGCGCCGTTTATCGTGTTTGACGATGCAGACCTTGAGGAGGCTGCTAAAGGTAAGTGTTGCCACCATCAGCCCTCATTTCAAGTGCTTCACGATGCTCACTCGCTCCAGGGCTCGTGACATCCAAATTTCGGTCGTCCGGCCAAACCTGTGTCTGCGCCAATCGTATACTGGTTCACGCGGCTGTTTTTGACAAGTTCGGTGAGCTACTGAAGAAAACAGTGAACAGCACTTTTGTTTACGGTTCCGTTTGGGATCAAGCCGTCAACTTTGGACCACTGTATTCGAGTAAGGGCATGTCAAAGGCAATAAGCCATCTTGAGGATGCGGTCTCGAAAGGAGGAATTCTTCTTACCAAAGATTTAGTCGCTAGAGAGCTGGGACCCAACTTCTTGCGACCTGCGATAGTGAAGGCGGCGACAAACTCTCATCTCATGACTTTTACAGAGGAAGAGACATTTGGGCCAATCGCTTTCATGATACCGTTCAATACAGAGGAGGAAGCCATCAAGATCGCCAATCAATCCAACCTGGGACTGGCCGCCTACTTTTATACCGAGTCTATTTCCCGACTGTGGAGGGTGGCAGAGGCTCTGAATGTTGGTATGGTAGGGGCTCGCGTTGGACTCGTGAGTGCTGCTGAAATGCCATTTGGTGGCATCATGGAAAGCGGGATGGGCCGCGAGGGTGGCATGGAGGCACTCCATGAGTTTCTTGAGATCAAGTCAATCACCGTCGGGCTCTAGCAGTACGAGTCTAGTACGTGATATCGCCGTTGCCTTCCGCTGGGCTGTACATCTTAGCAGTGATAAATCACAATCCACGGCGTTGCAGTTATTTAGCTTTAGACTTGACTAGCTTTCTTCTAGCAATCGCAGGCTACATATGTGTAAGGCAGCGAAACGGACGGGGATAGCGCAATTTACACATGAAAAGTTGTCTATGACTACTCTGGATCTAATGAAATGACAAGGCGGGTAAGCAAGCCCCATATGCGGGACAGGATGCGCAAAATCGCGTCTCCAGCACTCTATTCCTCTACCCGACATCACAGCTTTCCTGGATAGGATCGACCCTGCCGAATAGCCAACACTCTTCGTGCAGCGGCTTGGCCGGCGCGGCGACCGAACACCGCGCCCGAGGTCAAACCACTGCCCCCAGGATAATTGTGATAGAAAAGACCACCAAGCATTTCTCCACAGCAGTAGAATCCAGGTATAGGCTTGCCATTGATCGAGTTGATGATTTGTGACGTATCTGCCGACAGTTTGAGTCCGCCAAAAGTGAACGTGATCCCGCAGGTAACCTTCACTGCGAGGAAGGGACCTTTGTCCAGTGGAAGGGCCCAATTCGTCTTCGGAGGGTCGACACTCTTCGATGACGACAAGGTCGATAACCCATCCCTTATAGCAGGGTTGAACTTCCGGGGGCACGAAGAGGTCTCTTGTCTGTTGGCGTACACCGCCTCATTGTAGTCCCGAATTGTCTGGACAAAGTTTGCCCTGTTCCGTAGTCCACGTGCCAAGCACTTTTCAGAGAGCTCCTCAATGGAATTGGCCGTGATACGCTCAACTCTTTCCTCGCGGTATTCCTCGGAACGAAGCATGGACGCCACTCGTGAGTCCCAAACCTGGAACGCAACGTGATCAGGTTGCCCAAGAACTGCTCGGCCATATTCGGCATATGTATAGTTGCGCAAGTCGGCACCCTCATCCACAAACCGCCTTCCGTCAGTATTGAGCATGAGCCCGAGTGGATAGCCGGACTTGGTATGCTCGTTGGAGGCCACGCGGTCGCCCATGCTTGGGTTGACATTGGCGTCCCACGCGACAGCATGGCACCCAGACCAATCGCCGTATGGCTGCGCATCAAGTCTAGACATGGCAATCTCGAGGCAATCGCCTGTGTTGTACGGAGTGCCCCGAACCATTGCCCTTGTCCAGTCTGGACCAAGGAATTGACCTCTCATTCGTGGGTTGGACTCAAATCCACCGGCAGCCAAGATAATGGCCTGAGCTCGGATTGCAGTTTCTTTGCCAGCATTGTTGACCATTGCAAAAATCTCGTCGCCCATTCGGCGAGGCGGTTGAAGGTCAACCAGGGCCGTGTTCCAGGACGTTCGCACGCCGTGGGCCAGTGCTGCCTTGCGCAAGTCCGCGACTGTAACGGGCTGGGCCCGTGTGGGTCTCGGCTCCGCTCTCGACCGGGGATCCACATCGGCTCCGGAGCTCCCTTTAAAAGCTCGTGTTCTGTTCTCGAACTTTCTTCTTTTTCTTCTTCCTTTCTTTTCTCCTCAGCTTTAGGATACTCGTTGCAGTCGCTCAGCT